AAATACTTTGTTGGGAGTTATAGTTCTTTTTGCCCAGCTCTGTGCCAGAGTAAGAAATCAGCAGGACTCCGGGGGTGCATCCAGACTAGAAATAATGCAGTGACACCACTTTTAAAAGCTGCAGCTCCATTCTATAGAACCCTGGGATTTGTAGCTTTACTTCACTGCCTCCTCAAACTATACATCCCAGGGTTCTGTAGGCTGGAGCCATGACCATTAAAAGGGTAGATGCATCTTTCCTTCAAAGGCTGCATCCACACTGCAGAAATAATCCATTGCTTTAACTGCCAGGGCTCACTCCTATGGGATCCTGGGATTTGTAGTTTGTGGTGGCCCCAGAGCTCTCTGACAGAGAAGGCTAACTATCTCAACAAACTACACAGCCCAGAATTCCATAGCAAGGAGCCACGACAGTTAAAGCGGTGCCAAACTGCATTATTTCTGCAGTGTGGATGCAGCCTTTGAAGGAAAGGTGCATCTACACTGTAGAAATTAATTGCAGCTTGAAACCATTTTTTAATTGCCTTGGTTCTAGCCTATGGGATGTGTAGTTTGGTGAGGCACCCGGCCTCTGGGGCAGACCCTTGCAAAACTGTGAATCCCAGGATTCCCTAGCAGTGGAAGCGGTGTCAGACTGCATTATTCTTGCAGTGCAGATGCAACCTTTGAGAAAGCCTTGATCCTGGAGAAAGGGATCAAAACATTGTTGCAGACCTTTTATTTTGTTTCCTTTTCTTTTCCTCTCTGGTTTTCTTTTGCTTCTGTATCCAAAGACTCCTGGCAACACTTTTATTCTTCTGTGTATCAACATATTGGAGGATGTATCAATATATTGGAGAATGCATTTTGCAAAGTTCGGTGAGGACTTGGGCAAAGTGACAAAATCTTTTTAAATGTTGCTTCTGCAAAATGTTTACCTTTTTTTTAATCAATCAATAAAAATAAAGACTCTCATTTAACACAACTCTGGCTTTATCTCTCTTATGGTGCATTACATTTCGGAGCTATATTTAGCTCCAAATTCCCCAATCTCCGCTCTTCGGGAGACATAGAAGGCCTCTGGGGTGGGGAGGCTGTGTCTTTGCTGCAGCTGCTTTCATAAAAATGTTCATTTTCATGCATTTTATGGCTGCTAAAAATAAACTTCCACTCGCTTCCACTACAGCGAACTTTCTAAATCAGACGTTTCCAAGACCATCCTTGCATGCAGCGTTTCCAACTCTCCCATCTCTTCCTCGTTGAGCCATAAAACCCACTGGATGACCTTGGGCAAGTCACACTCTCTCAGCCTCACAGGATGGCAATGGCCAACCCTTCTGAAGGAACTAGCCAAGAAAACCCCATGATTCGCCTTAGGGCCGCCATACGTCGGAACCGATTTGAAGGCATAGAAGCCCAACATGTTGTTTGTTCCAGGAAACCAGCCTCTCTGAACATTTCACAGCAAGAGGTTTCATGAACAACGTGAACTAATCAGTCGCACACACAAAAAGACACACAACTTTTCGCTCTCTCCCCCCCTCCCTAATGTTATATGCTTTATTGAAAAATTAAAAGCACAGCCTATTTCGTATATAAATAACATGATGTCGATGGCCATTTACAAGGCAATCCTCCATTGCTGGCTATGGATGAATGGAAAGTAAGATGGTGGAAACTGCACTCCCAGAAGGGCAACAATCAGTCAATACCCAAAGTGGGAGTAATTGCACCCCCTGGTTGTTCCTCCCTCTTCTAGCAATGCAAAGGAGCAATTACAATCCCTGGTAGTTCCTGCCTCTTCTAGTAATGCAAAGGAGCAGTTGCACCTCTTGGTAGTTCCTCCCTCTTCTAGCAATGCAAAGGAGCAGTTGCACCCCCTGGTAGTTCCTCCCTCTTTTAGCAATGCAAAGGAGCAATTGCAATCCCTGGTAGTTCCTCCCTCTTCTAGCAATGCAAAGGAGCAATTGCACTCCCTGGTAGTTCCTCCCTCTTCTAGCAATGCAAAGGAGCAATTGCAATCCCTGGTAGTTCCTCCCTCTTTTAGCAATGCAAAGGAGCAATTGCACTCCCTGGTAGTTCCTCCCTCTTCTAGCAATGCAAAGGAGCAGTTGCACCCCTTGGTAGTTCCTCCGTCTTTTAGCAATGCAAAAGGAGCAATTGCACTCCCTGGCAGTTCCTCCCTTTTCTAGCAATGCAATGGAGCAATTGCACTCCCTGTTAGTTCCTGCCTCTTCTAGCAATGCAAAGGAACAGTTGCACCCCTTGGTAGTTCCTCCGTCTTTTAGCAATGCAAAGGAGCAATTGCAATCCCTGGTAGTTCCTCCATCTTTTAGCAATGCAAAAGGAGCAAATGCGCTCCCTGGTAGTTCCTCCCTCTTCTAGCAATGCAAAGGAACAGTTGCACCCCTTGGTAGTTCCTCCGTCTTTTAGCAATGCAAAGGAGCAATTGCACCCCCTGGTAGTTCCTCCCTCTTCTAGCAATGCAAAGGATGAGATAGGACAATACATGGCTCTTCCCCTCTCCACTTCATTGGTGTTGTGAAGCAGTTGCAAGATGCTTTGGTAAGATGCAAGGCGGGGAAGCTAGAGAAGGTCAAGTGAGCTTTTTGGACAGGTGATCACCACGTCATTCAGATACAGGAACAGAGGGAGAATCTAAACCATGGTTTGCCAGCCAGGTGAAGATGGTCTACAGGAAGAATTAATATCTGGAGGTGACTTTCTTGGTACAAACGCCACAATCTCTCCTTCTTCCTCATTCTCCTCTCCAGGACTTTTCTCCTAGGCTTGGGATGGTGCCAGAAGTGGGATATCATAGTGAGAACCTACGTTGAGTCTTGGAGCACCCAACCCAAAGCCTGCTTAGTAGGAAGTCCTGCATGTGTCCGATGCCAGCAAGGTGCAAACGTGTGATGCTGGGCTTCCCATGGGTGTTCCTTGGGTGTTGTAACCATGCACAGATATTCACACATGTGTGGCACCTGCTTGGAACCCTGTTCATTCCTTACCGTTCATTCTCTTTCTCTTTTTCTTATTTGGCTTTGGGGCTTTGGCTGCCCCACCCCTAAAGTGCAACGTTAAACTCTGTGACTAGAAAATCAACATAGTCCTTGTCCTTCGTTTTAAAGGCCTCGGCGATGATCCTCGCCGCTTCCCGGTGCTCTTTCCCTCGGAGGGTGACGCCGTTCACCTCCAGGATCACGTGTCCTACCTTCAACTGCCCACAGTTGTGGGCTGAACCTCCTCTCTGCAAGACAGAGAAGGGAAGAAAAGGAGGAGAAGGAGAGGAGAAGGAAAAAGGAAGAGCAAATTAATGGTTGCAAGTTGCACCAGTGTGGATTTGAATGCGCTATTTGCTCATTTAGAGAGCCAGTGTGGCATAGTGGTTGGAGTGTTGGACTACAACTCTGGAGACCAGGGTTCGATCCCCAGCCCGGCCATGAAACCTAATGGATGACTTTGGGCAAGTCACACATTCTCAGCCTCAGGGGATGGCAGTGGCAAACCTCTGAACAAATCTTGCCAAGAAATCCCATGATAGATTTGCCTTAGGGTCACCATGAATCAAAAGTAACTTGAAGGCACACGACAACAACTCATTTGCTGACTATCCTGTGTGGTCTTGGACCTATAATTGCAACTTGAACACTGCAAAATGGGGCTTTTTTGTTTATTATATTTTATTAAAGGATTAAATTAAAATATTATAAGAGACACATTACACTGTATCAGATGTTTGTTTCCCTTTTCCCACCCTTCCCACATGCAATATTTGTGTAACCTCATTGCATTCTGTTGTTGTTGTTGTTGTTACTATCGATAACTTCTGTTCCTGCATTCTTTTCTTCTTCCTTTTACTCTGTCTATTTGATAGGAGAGATTTTGCGATGGTTTAACTACTCGTGATTTTATGGTCCGATGTTCCTCTAAACTTCATTAGCTTTAACGATCTCTTAAGACATCATTCATGGTTTAGAATTCAGACATTTGTTTCCTTGGTCAATCAGTGTGTCATTTCTCACAACTCCAATTGTTTTTACAGAAATAGCCTAGAAATATTTGCCATTCTTGCCTCTGTTTTTCAAAAGCCTCTCCATCGATTGCACCCGTTAGCGTGTCCATTTCTATTGCTTCTATTGGTTTCTCTGATTTTGATCTACAACATTGCAGAACTTGGGGTACAAATTCGAAGTTGTGATCTCCTCTCCTACCCATTAGTCAGAAGCCTTCCTCAAAGGTTAGAAATGAATAATGCTTAGCCTGCGGGGCTCTGTGTTTCTTTGTCTCCGTGTTTAAATCCATGAGTCATTTTTTCCCAACCAGGTCTGCTTAGACTGCAAATCTGGCTTAAAATGATTATTTCCTTATCTATTTTTAAAAGAAATCAAAGCAGCAAAGAGGGACACAGAGTTAAAGCCATGTTTGCCCTCGGATCCAACCAACCCCAAAAGGCACAAAAGAAAGAAAGCGGAGGAGGAATAAAGCAATAGGACGGAGAATGTGGTGTGCAGAAGCAGTGCGTCTATTTGTTGTTCTTGCATGCCTTCAAGGCATTTCCCCAAGGCAAACCTATCAGGGGGTTGTCTTGGCAAGATTTCTTCAGAGGAGGTTAGCCACTGCCTTCCCCTGAGGCTGAGAAAGTGTGACTTGCTCAGGATCAGCCAGTGGTTTCATGGCCTAGCTGGGAATCGAACCTGGTCTCTAGAGTCCTAGTCCAACACTCATACCATTACACCAGGCATGCTCTACCTAGACCTTTTATTAGAATTTAGAATTAAGACATTAAAAGAAAATTATGGGTGTATCTGCACTGCATGGTTCCATCAGTGTGATGCCACATTAACTGCCATGGCTCCATCCTGCAGAAATCTGGAATGTGTAGTTTAGTGAGGCAGCAGCAGTCTTGGGCAGAGAAGGCTGAAGACCTCATAATACTACAAATCCCAGTATTCCATAGGATGGCGCTACAAAACTTAAAGTGGCCTCGAATTGCATTATTGCTACGGGGGAGATGCAACCTCAGTCTCTGTCGACTTTACCTGTATGGTCACGATCCGAGGCAAGGGCTGCCGCGTGTTGGCTCCTCCTTCGATGGCAATGCCCAGGGTTGGGGCACTCTTGGCCACCCGGATCAGATGGGACGTTGGTTCTAGAAGGCCTGGCTGTGGAGGAGAAGAGGAAAAAAAAGGACACAATCCCAGATGTATGTAATAATCCCATCCCAGTACAGTTAGCAAAGCCTCTGGCAAAGGGTTCATCTACACTGTACAAATAATGCAGTTTGACCCGACTTGAAGTACTGTAGCTCGATCCTATGGAATCCTGGGATTTGTAGCCTTCTCTTGCCAAAGAGTGCTGGTGCCTCACCAAACTACAAATCCCAGAATTTTGCAGAATGGAGCCATGGCAGTTAAAGGGGTGCACAAGTGCATTATTTCTACAGTGTAGCTGCACCCAAAGAAGCTCCTTTTGCAAAGTGTTTTTCTGCCCACCCAGCCTTTTCCTCTTTTTTTTTTTGTCCTCTATCTAGCTGATGATTGATTGAAAATTCTTATCAACCCCTCAAAATACCCCTGACACATTCCCCAAACCTTCTAGAACACAGTTTCCCAAACTTTGGTTCCCTCCAGATGTTTTGGACTTCCACTCCCAGAAGCCCTAGCCAGTTGGGCCAACAATCAGGAATTCTGGGAGCTGAAGTCTAAAACATCTGGAGGACCAAAACATGGTCTATACTGCCCTCCAGTGGTTCAATCAATTCTCTGCACTCATCTATCTCACTAATAAAGGTTTCTTTTGTCCCAGGACCTAAATACCCTAAAGGCACCAGATCCTATCTGATCTTGGAACCTAAGCAGGGTCAGCCCTGGTTAGAACTTAGATGGAAGACCACCAATGAATAGCAGGTGCTGTAGGCTTACATTTCAGAGGAAGAAACTGGCCAAATTACCTCTGAGGACAGTAGGCCCTTGGTATTCACTGGGGTTTGGTTCCAAGTCCCATTAAATACAATGGCACAGTAAAATGGTGTCTCTTTATATAAAATGGCAAAATCAAGGTTTGCTTTTTGGAATATATGAATATTTTCAATCTGCAGATGGTTGAATCAGTGGATAAAGAATCTGTGGATATGGGGGGCCAACAGTATGCCTTGGATAAGAAATCACTATTAAATCTATGGGGTTGCAGTAAGTGGACTCCAAGGGTACAGCAGTGGCAGTTGGGATGGAAGGAGGGCCTTTCAGGAATTCTAGGAGCTGAAGAGTAGGCTTGATGGAGTTGTGCCTGACTCTTTTCTGCCTCTGAGGCCAGGGCGACAGTTGAGATGGAAGGAGGCACTTTCATCTACTTCTGGGACTAGGCACGATGGAGATGTTCCTAGCTCTTTTTTCCATAAAAGACCAGGGCAATGGCAGTTGGGATGGAAGGAGGAACTTCCATATGCTTCTGGGACTAGGCATGATGGAGATGTTCCTGACTCTTTTCTCCCTCTGAGGCCAGGACAATAGCAGTTGATATGGAAGGATGCACTTTCATCTGCTTCTGGGACTAGGCATGATGGAGATGTTCCTGAGTCTTTTCCCCTAAGAGACCAGGGCAATGGCAGTTGAGATGGAAGGAAGCACTTTCATCTGCTTCTGAGACTAGGCATGATGGAATCGTGCCTTCCTCATCTCTCCCTCCAAGGCCAAGGCAATGGAAGTTAGGAAAGTAGGACACATATTCATTTGCTTCTAGGCCTGAGCATGATGGAGCTGTGCTCGCTTCTTCTCCTCTACCTATACATTCTATCTTATCCCATCTTCTTCTCTACCTATACATCCCATCTCACAACAGTTCTTCAGCATTGCCTTACCGGTTTGGGTGCTGCCTCAACCCGCCTGTCAGTTCTGGGGGTTTCCTGGGGGCTTCGGCTTTTGATGGCACCCTGCATCCGACTCCTCTCTCTGGCGCTGACCTCTGCTTCTCCGATGTCCACTCCACTGTCCTCGCTCAGAGTCTGCCCACTGTCTGAAAGTTGGGAGAGTGTTGAAGCTGGGGTGGTGAGAATAGGAGAAAGGCTGTCAGGAGGGCAACACAGATGAGAAAAGCAGCAAGCCCTGTGAGGTGCTGAATTTTTTGGAAGCTGGTCCTATCTCTGATAGGACCTGGACAAAGACGATAAAGTGAGTGGCCATGACAAGATATCACAATGCTGATCTACCCTCCAACTGCTCCAATTCATTCAGGATTATCCATAGCTCCTGCGTAGAAAATACTGTTTTCTGTGCAAAAACAACCATGTGCGAATTTTGTGCAGAATAAGTCCAGAATTGCGAACCATCTTCAAAACCTATGTGGTCTCCAAAGACTTTCTCACAGCAGGGAGAAAATTGCTAAAATTATTCATTGCTTCCTTTGAGAAGAAAATGAGAGAAGAAATTATATTCCCAGAGCTGTGCAATTCTGCACGATTTCTGCTTCTGCAATATAGACCTGGAGTATGTGTGCCACAGTTGTGCTACCATCCTGAACTACTGTTGTTGCCATTTTCTCACATACTGTGTCTCTCAAGGCCTTCTCCTTTTTATTATTATATTAGAACAGTGGGAACAACCATCCTAAAAGAAAGGAAATGGTGAAAACTGAAGTGGAGGACACTTGCAACAAGCAAGTATCTCCACCAGAGGGAAGCAAATTCATAACTCTAAACTGTCTTGCAAAAAAGGCACATTCAAGGCAAAACCAATTCAGGACATAGTTGTTTTCAAGGACCATTCTTTGAAATACCATCAAAGGGACATAGACATTTCCCACCATCATTTCTGGTACCATGGCCTACAGAAGCTTTGTGGCCCCTGAACCCTAATTCTGCAGCCCCAGAAGCCCTCTGGAAATCCCATCGAGAGTCCTTCCTATTTTCGGCACAGAAAAAAAGGTCCTTCTTGCACAGAAAATATTGTTTTGTCCATGCACACACACACACACACACAAAGCCCCATGCAAATATTTCTGTGCAGAAATATTATTTTGTGCACGGGGAAAAATCTCTTTCCTGTACAGTTTTCTGCGCAAATTGGCCAGCTGCAAATTTTGCACAGAATCTGCCCTGACCTGCAAAAATTCTTGTCCATCTAGGCTTCTTCTTAGTCAGGGTTTTTCAATACTCACAAAATTGTTTTTCTAACCATTTTTTGGAATATGTTTGAAAATTGCTGCCATCTGTATTCACTGCTTAGTGGCAGAGTCAGCCATGAGTAGGATAGAAATATCTTGAATGAATGAATGAATGAATGAATGAATGAATGAAGACCTGAGTTTGAAGTATTGAAGGATGAGTTCTCCTTACCTCTGGCTTGGGGCAGAGACCTCACTTCGTTCACGTCTGGCTCGCTGTTGGGCCGGTGGACTTCCACCATGATAAAGTGCTGAGTGGTCCCAGCCTCTGAGCCCCCTTTTTCAACTGGAGGAAGAGGAGCAGGATGGGATGGGGGAGGTGGCGGTGAAGGGGAAGCAGCATTTGGACGTAGGAGAGTGGCGGAACCCGTGGTCTCCGGAGAGGGACTCTTTAGCCGTGTCGGTGACTGAACTCGAGGGAAGGGCCTTATTGGGTGTTGGTTGACCAGTAACAAGTGGGTCTCGCTGGGCCTTCTGATGGAGGCGTATATGGCGCTGGAGGTGGAATCATCGGTGGAGGAAGCGGTGGTGGAGGATGAGGAGGCCAGGCTGACTGTGTCCTTCTCAGAGAGGCTGGGAGGAGGAGTGGGGTTTCGGGGGGCTACGAAGAACAGGCCTGACTGAGAGGATTCAGAGGAGGGACGTTGGAGGGTGTCTTTCTGTTTGTTCTGGGGAGCAGAGGATGCTGCTGACATTTGAGGTGAAGGTTGAGGAGGTGGAGGTTTGAAGGCCGGGGGCTCCTCGGGGAAAGAGGAAACGTCGTCCTGGGAAAAGCAAGAAGGAGAAAAATCACCTTGAGATATGGGTGAGACTCTACCCCTGGTTGCCTCTCTGGATACTTCATGTTAGTTATTTTGGGGCGGGGAGTACCAACTGCAGCTGGTGGCTTCCATCTCAGTGGAGTGGTGGATCTGCTCCAGGCTATGCATGTCTGTGAAGGAGCTCTCCAAAGTACTGAACCCATTTGCAGGACAGGACTCAGCACCTTGAAAGCCTGGGTTAATGGTTTTAAGTTACAGGAGGGTAACTTCAAGTTTGATTCCCAGCTCACCGTGAAACCCACTGGGTCACCATGTGCAAGTCACACCTTCTCCGCTACAGGGGAAGGCAATGGCAAACCACCTCTGACCAAATCTTGCCAGGAAAACCCTATGATAGGTTTGCCATAGGGTCTCCAAATGTTGGGAACAACTTGAAGGTACACAACACACACACAACTTAAAGTTACAGGAGGGGAGATTTCGATTGAGCATTAGAAGGAACATTTTGATGGTAAGAGAGGTTCGGCAATGGAACCAACTGCTTAGAGAGGCTTCAGAGTCTCTTTCCATGTAAGGCACTTTCCTATATCCCTGTATTATAGGGATATATTATGTTAATGTTTCTCAGCCACCTAAATCAACCTATTCTCACGTCGGCACCGAACCGTTGAAGAGCAACACAATTGTCAGATAAATGCCAGACGGCTCCCCGCAGCCTTGGCTGTCTTTGTGGAAACAAAGTACCAATTGTGTTAATTCCGTGTGTCGAAATACACAGATTTGTGGCATCTTGTGCATCTGTCCGATTCCGGCACAGCGGGAG